CTTAAGGTATTTTTGTTTTATATATTTCTTGGAAGCGGACGCTTTTACTCGTTTTAGAGATGTCACTTTTTATATGATTTGTGGCGATTTATAGAATGTACTTGGTGTTGAAATCTATATAATTTATATAAATCTATGTTCGCCTCTAGTTCAAAATTTATTTTGAAAACAATGTTGATAAGAACTGATTATTTATGTAGGTATCGATTGTTGATGATTATTCTGGATGGATATGACTGGATTTTTTCTTAATATCGAACTACTTACATTGAACAAAGATCAAAACTGTGAAATAATCTTCCGGTTGATATTTAATCTTGTGCATATGACGTCTGTCTACTACATTTGCTTGTAAAAGTTATTTTAAATTGTTTCGAAGATGATTTTCTAGTTTAAAAAAGTGGCAACTCCCGCCTTCAAAAAAAAGTGTAAAATCATTTTGGACTAGAGATCACTGGACAGTAATTTTGTCGGGTACGAGATAACCGGCTATCAGCATTAGTTGTGCCGGATCCAAGCCGGATATCCGGCCCATCTTTATTTTAAACCTTCAGTTTTTGTTATTCACGAACTACTTAATCAACTATAAATAACTAAAAAAGTCTATGTGTAGATTATACACCTGAATGCCTTTACGTTATTTTTTTATGAGAGGAATGTCCAGAATCTAGATAGGTGAAAACCGTCTTCACCTAAACAGCCGTCACTTGTTTCAAATGAAAATACCCCGTGGGAGGCGACATACGTGAAATCGTTCCTAGCATAACGAATCACCACTTTGTAAGTACACAAACGCACGAAGTACCTACACGTCATTAATAACTTTAGTCTACGACAGTACTACCAGAGCGTACCACAGACTATTCCTGAATTATTATTGTGTTTCAACCTAGAAATTACGGCAGCATTTAAAAATAAATTATCATTGACTGTTGTATTTAACATTTTCCATGACGATATCGTCTTTCATTATTTTATTGTAACTATACGACGATTGCTGGTTACTTTGACATTTTGATTATATGTACGGAAGATGAAGCTATGCAATTTGAAATTGATGTTTTCTCGTAGGCATACATATTGATGAAATGCATTTTCTGCATGTTGAACTCTATTAAAAAAAATGGTAGTGTTTAGATTGTCCAGTAAAAAGTAGTTATCAAATTTTTATAACTGTAAAGGTAAGCGCACATACATCGGAATCGGATGGTCAGAACGGCATGGAAGAATGCAAAATTTATGCAATCATTCCTGCAGGCTAAACAACCAGCATTTCAAAAATTCGCCGCGACTTCGGGTATCAGAATTATTTCGATGAATTTCGCACATATTAGCTATATGTAATCAAACAGCGTCTTTATGAGGAAAGCTACCATACTTCTATTCGTATTATTTTCGTATTTATACGATTAGACGTTCCCACTCGCATATGACTAGGATTTCCAAATTTTTTAGTTTTTTGATACATCTTTAAGAAATTTGGATACTAAATAAAAATTTTTAGATTAATAATTATCTAAAATCCTTGAATTCATTTCGACGTATGTATGTTGATACGAAAAAAAAATCTGACGATATCGTGTTTCCGTTGCGTGGCGTCCGTCCGTTTCCGATGTATGTGCGCGTACCTTAATATGTTTAAGGGAAGCATATATTTTCAGGAGCAAACTGTCCTAGAAAAAGACATTTCCACATGACTTTAGCTATTCTCATTTATATTTTAAGGTCGTATCAGTTATAAACATACTGTTATACTGCAAATATGCATCTGATGAATGTTCATATATGCGGAACTTACGTCATATAATTACGACATGATCCGTTCAAATTATAGAGGAGTCAACTATGATATACGTTTCTATTTAAATGTATTTTCCGTCAATTACCTATTTCATAATTTTCAATATATGTAATTAGGTAGATTTATAAAATCTATTTTATTCTCTGTTGGAATGCCGTTCTCTTTAAGGCGTATCAATCTTAGTGGTGTTTGACACTGCAAAAAGGGTTGAATTAATCAATTAAACGCAAATAAAAATGTTGTAAACAATTTTCACAGCAATATGTTTCATTTCACGCCAATGAAATGTTCGTATGTTGGTTATATATATTCCAGTAAAAACATTGCATTATTCATTTCAGCAATATAGTAAAAATAGAAATTGTCCTTATTGTATATTATTATACGAGCAATATTTATATATTTGTTGTTTATTTGCTTGTGAGTTTGTTTGTAATCACGTTCTCGAAAGCTTTAACACTTCAATTCAATGAAATTTCCAATATAGAACTTTACAGGGGTAAAAAATTGAGCTAGCTAAATCTCACTTTTGGGAAAATTCCGTTTTTACGCACAAAACAAAAAACTTCGTTAATATGATTGGTAATATCGCCACAGTAATCCAATTGTTAGAGCGTAGGTGTACCACGCTGGAGTGGACAAGTTGGAATCCTGCGATGTGGTCAGATTTTTTAGTTTATTTTTTGTGTAGTGTGTAAAAAAGAAACTTTGGGTTACAAACTTGGAGCAATAACTTATACAAAATATAGGGTTGTTCGGAAAGTCATTTCGTTTTTTTTTGTGAAATTAAAGACAGTTTTCGTATAATAAACAAATACTTTATTAAATTATATATTGACCGTTCTGGTCCAACACCTTTTGCCATCTTTCTGGTAGTACCATAATTCCACGTTCATAAAATTTTTGGTCTTTGCTGGCAAAAAACTGATCGAGGAGGTTTTTGACCTCCTCATTTGAGGTGAAGGTTTTACCGTCTAAAAAATTTTGGAGTGACCGGAACAAATAATAATCCGATGGTGCCAGGTCTGGATAATATGGTGGGTGTAGCATTGTATCCCATTCAAGCTGTAAAAGCTTTTGGCGAGTGACCAAACTTGTGTGAGGTCTCGCGTTGTCTTGGTGAAACACTACACCTGTCCTGTTGATTAGTTCTGCCCTTTTCTGTTGAAGTGCATCATTCAGTTTGTCCAGCTGATCACAGTAGACTTTCGAATTAATCGTTGTGTTATCCAGTAAAAGCTCAAAAAAAAAACGATTCCTTTAAAATCCCACCAAACAGACAGCATCACCTTTTTTTGGTGAATATCGGCTTTGGAAATGGTTTGTGCCGGTTCATCTTTTTTGCTCCATGACATTGACGTTGTTGTATACAACCCATTTTTCGTCCTTAGTGATGATGCGCTTCAAAAACGGATCATTTTCGTGACGTTTGAGAAGCGAATCGCAGACGTCAATGCGGCGACACAGATTCCTCTCTGTGAGAACATGGGGAACCCATACATCGAGCTTCGAGGATAATCCCAGACCTTTCAAGTGGTCATAAACTGTTGAATTTGATAAATTTAACCTCAATCCGATCTCACGTGTTGTTATTTGCCGGTTCACATCAACTAATGCCTTTATCGCGTCTCTATCAGCTTCAACCGGCCTTCCCGAACGTGGTGCATCTTCGACATCAAAATTGCCGGATCGAAATTTAGCGAACCAGCTCTGGAACTGGCGTACTGTCAACACACCTTCTCCATACACATCAGTCAATTTCTTTCTGGCTTGAACAGCATTTTTACCCTTTCTGTAGTAAAACAGTAAGATATGTCGAAAATGCTGCTTATCGCTCTCTATATTTAAAAGGGCACCAACCAAAAACTGCTTGCTAAAATTAATTGGAATTTTTCACACACAAGCCTTGGTATATAAGCTCTCAAAGCATATAAAAATTATACGGCTTAAATGTGAAGTTGGGTGCAAAAGAATACAATTAAATCCTCTGTCGGGAAAAAACGAAATGACTTTCCGAACAACCCAATAGATCTAGGCAGACTACATCTGTCCTAAGCAGACAGAGCTCTGTTGCCCAGGTATTGATCTAATAAATCGACGTTTTTATCGTGACGCCCGAGCCCGATGATTATGACAAACAGTACCTAACACATACATACATCTTGTATACACTTAATCACGCACGTAGATGCTGTACATTCTCGAACTAGCGAAATAAATTGCGGTCTCCGCCCTCGTAGTTCACAATTCTACCATAATGGCCTTCTCTGCGGAGAAAGAACAATACCTGACTTGGCCGCAACTCCGAGCAGTTAACTTCGATTTCATAATTGGAACATTCCGCCATATATTTTTTGTTTTTTTTTGTCCTTTCTTTTTCTTCTGGTTGTTGTTGTTCTTTTTTTTTTTTTTCGTCAGTACTGTACAGTACGATCGACGCAATAATGTGTACAACAACGTGGACGAAGTCTCGGCTAAAATTCATGGTTGCTTTGATGCGATAATTACCATGTCCTTCTGTGCCATGCCACGATCGTGCATAAAATGCCAAACATAAATTTATTGTCCGAGCTTAAAGAATACGCGTCTATATTTAATGTAACAATTTGTTGTGACGTAAATAATACACATGCGTACCTACTTCAACATTATGTGTAGCATCAACGTGCTCACTTGATGCATTGAAGTTTGCTATCTTTTTGTCTTGTCTCACAATACCTTTCCCAATTAAGTGCCTTAAACAAGGCAAATATGTTATGTAACAAAGCTAGGGAACACTTAATGCTCTAATTGAAAAATAATGTACAAGAGTTATCAGAGTTAGTAGGTAAGTGCGTAGAATATACCATTTTATAGGCTGTAGTACTTGAAAAGCAAAATCTTGTTAAAGGTATCGGCAACAAGCACCTTTTGTTATTTTATACTTCATTTCATTGCACCTGTGCCAAATTAAACGGATCGAAATGGTATAAAAGGTAAAGCTACCGCCAAAAACCAAACCTAATTACATGGTTAAATGGGACGTAGTTCGATCTGGCAGTTTTACTGCCTGTAAACCCTTGAAATTAAACGTGATCCCAACGGAAATCTACGTTTAGTAACAGTCAATTAAGTTAACGTTAAACCTCCCTTACGTGCATTTGTAAAGATGCAATCATACACGGACAATAGTTTGTTAACTAGGTATTCTTCTTTTCAGGGGAAATAACCACAATTAGCAGTTTAGATCGTGAGTTTAAAGAGTTTTACGATCTCGTAGCCGAAGCTAGAGACCAGGGGACTCCGTCCAGAAGCTCTCGAGTTGTCCTTAAGATCAAAGTTCTCGATGTTAACGATAACGCTCCTGAAATTGTTGATCCACAAGAAGACGTTGTTAGTGTTCGCGAAGAGCAACCTCCAAATACAGAAGTTGTCAAGGTAAAAGCGATTGATCCCGACAATGGAAACAACGCTTCAATCATATACTCACTCGTAAATAATCGGGAATCGGACGGCTACGGGATCTTTACCATCGATCAACTCACCGGCGTCATTCGTACCAGGATGGTGCTTGATCATGAAGAAAAGACAATCTACAGAATCGATATTGCCGCGTCCGACAATGGAAATCCACCAAAACAAACCATCCGAATGCTGAGAGTTGAAGTATTAGACCTGAACGACAATCGGCCTACTTTTACTAGTTCGAGTTTGGTGTTTCAAGTAATTTCGCTCTTCATTTGTTTAAAACTAATCGCTTTACTAAGTTACAATTTTCTTATTAGGTTAAAGAAGACGTTCGTATTGGATTCATCGTTGGATCAGTAGCGCCTTCAGAATCGTTGGAAAGTGAAAACGTTATACCCGAAAGTTCAGGTGGGCACGTGATGTATACTTTAAATTCGCTAACTTCCGATCAAACGGATGCGTTCGATATCGATAGAAGTACAGGATCTCTGATCGTTGCCAAACAACTAGACCGAGAGGTGCAATCAGAGTATAAACTTGAGGTCCGTGCTTTAGACACAAGTGCAATAAATAACCCACAAAGTAGTGCGGTCACTGTTCGCGTGGAGATTACTGACGTGAACGATAACGCACCGGAATGGTCTCAAGATCCTGTTACGATACAAATCGCTGAAAATTCAGAAGTTGGTCTACCGTTTTATAACTTATCAGCTTCCGATGCTGATTCGGGAAGTAACGGTGAAATTCGATACAGTTTGCTACAACAAACTCCCGAAGGACATACCTTTAACGTCGATCCACTAACCGGTACACTAACTCTTATGGAAACTTTAGATTATGAAAATGTGTCCGAATACGTGCTTATTGTTGAAGCAACTGATCAGTCCCCAAACTTGCCAGAGCGACTGAGTACTTCAGTCACTGTCAGAATTATAGTTACTGACTCAAACGATAATTCGCCCAAATTCGTAATTCCCACAACTTCTAACATTTTCATCAGTGATTCTGCCATTGTGGGTATGGCAATAACAAGAATCATCGCCGTGGATAGAGATCATGGCGACAATGGACGCGTCACCTATGTGATAACCAATGGAAACGAGCAAAGACAATTTTCTTTAGGATATGATAACGGAATTTTAACTCTGGCTAAACCCATTTCATCTGCTATGGCGTCGAATACCTACACTTTAAATATAACAGCCAGTGATCATGGGACACCGACAAGGCAAACTTTTATTGTGCTAAACCTATCTGTAAGAGACTCTAATGACAACCCTCCTAGATTTCACAATGCTATTTATTACGCAAACGTACCAGAAGAAGCTTCCTCCGGTACATTCGTAATTAAAGTATCCGCGAACTCCAGCATGGGCGAAGGTGAGTTGAATAACTGATAATTGATTATTAATTGACAGTAGTGTGTTACCACATTTTACTATAATTTCATTAAGGAATGTCACGGAAATTAGTATCTTTTTTTTTCAAAAACATACTGCCTGTTAGCTCATCTGCAGTGGTGGTAAAGTAATAATGCGTAAGAATTTTTAACTGATCCCAGACCAACTAATCATCATGTATAAATATTCACTTCGTGGTAGGAATAAACATCTACATATAATTGCAAGCGATTTGTTAATCACCAGTTTATTTCTTCTCTTTCTAGGAAAATACTTGCAATACTTTATACCACCTGGTATCGCAAATGACGCGTTTATCATAGACTCATCTTCTGGAATAATAACTACGAAAAATGCACTGGACAGAGAGGAAACAGAAACCTACAACATACCAGTTTATGTATTAGATGTGGGAGAAAGAAATATGATTTCGCCCAAGTCACAGTTTGATGTTACCACGGTTTCTGTTACCGTTACCGACATAAACGACCATGCGCCTGCATTTCGTCAAGGATCATGTTATCCACTTGCTATTCCGGAAAACAACAAGCCTTCGGTAGTCCACACAGTTGTAGCAAATGATTTAGACAGTGGGAAAAATGCTGAAGTTATCTACGCTATCACAGGAGGAAACGTTGGAAACATGTTTAGCATCGACCCAAAAACAGGTCAACTAAAAGCAAGATCTTTGGACAGGGAATCAAATCCGCGTTTCAAGTTGACAATTACAGCACAAGATCGTGGTAATCCACCTTTAAGTGGATTCTGTAACATATCCGTATTTCTAGAAGACCAAAATGATAACGATCCGATATTTGACAAATCAAATTATATGGCAACGATATTAGAAGATGTTCCGCCAGATACCTCGGTCCTCAAGGTGCATGCCACTGACGCTGATATTGACCTGAATGGTAGAATTATTTATTCCTTGGCCAACGAAAATCAATCTTTATTTCGAATAGACAACAAAACTGGGATTATAACTACTACTGGGTAAGTAAAAATCACAAGTGTATTTTATATGAAGGTATTAGTAATTAAATTTTATATTTTTTTTCAGATTTTTTGATAGAGAAAGACAACAGGAATATAATTTTTTAGTTGTTGCCACTGACAGTGGAAAATACGATGCTCGCTCTCAAAGAGTCGCAATCAAGGTTTTGATAGGTGACGTGAACGATAATAAACCTATCTTCGTACGGTATCCTTTCAAAGAAAAGGTTTCTGCGTACATTCAACCCGGACAGACGATTCTGAAAGTATCGGCCAATGATTTGGATCAAGGGACTAATTCCGAAATTGTATATAATTTGGCAAACGACAATAATTTCGGCAAATTTCGCATGAATCCAAACACAGGGGTGTTAACAGCTACTCAAAGCCTTGCAAGTGAAAATGGTCGCACCCTCTACATTAATGTAATCGCCACTGACAAGGGAAATCCGCCTCAAAGTTCCAACGGTCTCATAGAAATAAATGTGGGCGATATTCCCGATGGCTTTCCCAAACTTCGGTTCCAAAACAGTTCATACGTTGTTGTCCTTCCAGAAAACGCCAATCAGTTCCGAGATGTTATTCAAATATCTGCAGTGAGAACGGACGGTCGTAAACAGAAGATTTTCTACTCGTTCGGGAACGGTAACGAACTGAACACATTTGTAATTAATTCGGAAAGTGGCATTATACAAGTGCGTGACTCAAAACATCTTGATTATGAACAACGAAAAGAAATAAAACTTGTCGTGGAGGCTCGAACCGATGGAAACCCCTCGTTACACGGATATTGTGATGTGATTGTGAAGTTGACTGATCAGAATGACAACGCACCGACATTTACACAACAGGAATATACAGCTTCGGTTTGGGAAGGAAACAACAAAAGCGCGTACGTTCTCCAAGTCGTAGCATTCGACGCTGACGAAGATCGAAACTCAAAAGTTTTGTATCATATTGTGGATGGCAATTTAGATAATGCCTTCAAAATTGAACCAGCTTTTAGTGGAATTCTCAAGACGAACATAGTTCTCGACAGAGAAATTAGAGACACGTATAGACTCACTGTTATAGCCACAGATCAAGGCGTTCCTCAAATGACGGGCACAGCCAGGATTCGGATCAATGTAGTTGATGTCAACGACAACAAGCCTACCTTTCCACCCCACAGCATCATTACAGTCAGTGAAGGTAAAATTAATTTTTTTATTTTATTTTTAGTTACAATCAGATACTGCTAAGTGTAATATTTGCTAATATTTCTTTTGAAAATACAATTTTTTTTTATTTTCAGCCACTGAAGTAGGAACAGTTTTAACAACACTTACTGCTAACGACGTGGACTCATTTCCACCCTTGATGTACGACTTTTCTCGACAAAACGAAGACGAAATTCGGGAGATTTTTGATATTGACAGATTCAGTGGAAAACTGGTGTTGAAGAAACCCCTTGATTATGAAGTGAGACAGGAATATATCTTAAAGATTACAGCTTCCGATGTCGATCATACCGCAGAAACAACACTTACCATACGAATTACAGATGTTAACGATAACGCCCCGAAGTTCCTACAAGACACATACAACGCAATATTGCCAGGTAAACTAAAACGATTTTTATTTTTAGCATTCTTTTTTTTGACTTTTTTATTGTTTTTGCAGATAGTCAATCATCCGACTTGATTGAGATTCTCACGATTAATGCAACTGACATAGACTCGGGAGAAAACGCAAGGGTGAAGTATACTCTGTTGACGCCTATATCTGGTTTTTCAATCAGCGAGATGGATGGCATTCTAAAAGTTAATCAAAGCAATGTATCATTGTCAGAACTTAACGATTATCAAATCACCGTTATCGCCACCGACACTGGGAAGCCGCCACTTCATTCCACCGCATCCGTTAAGATTAAATTAAACGGTGGGTCAGGATACGAACCTACTTTTCAAATGAAACCCTACAGGTAAGTTTAATTGAAACATATTCGCATAATTCAATTCTTCATTGCTGTTAACTAATTAATCGTGTTGTCTTCAGAATAAAAGTTCGTGAAAACATCCTAAAGGGCTCAGTCGTTCTTCAATTGCTGAAAACGTCTCACAAAACTAGCGGTAGTGGAAATCTCTTCATTTCAAAAGGAAATGACGAAAACGTATTTGAAATCTCCAACCCTACTGGAACGTTAGCACTTGTGAAAAACTTGGACAGAGAAATTCAAGACACGTACAACTTGGAAATAAAATCCATGGACACTATTGGAACTAATAACTCCATAAATGTTTTAGTAGAAGTAGAAGATGTAAACGACAATGCCCCAGTGTTCAAGCAATCTGATTATGAAGTAAACATCAATGAAGGTACTTCCATTAACACAAGTATCATGAAAGTAATTGCTACAGACTCAGATCTTGCTGGCACTCCTCATTCAGACATTGTATATGATATTACGTCGGGCAATGACTTCGGATTATTTCGTTTAGACCCGAATTCTGGAATTTTGTACGTAAACAAAACTCTTGACTACGATTCTGGAACAATAGAACATAATATAGTCATAAGAGCTTGTGATAAAGGCACCCCATCCCTGTGCACGCTTAATTCATTTCAAATTATTCTCGAAGATGATAACGATAACCCTCCACAATTTCCTGTAACAGAGTATCTTGAATATGTGTCTGAAAATGAACCTTTGGGCACGGCAGTTTTTACAGCCAGAGCAACAGACATGGATAAAGGGGTTTTTGGCAATCTTAATTATTCGATATCAACTGCACTTTCCCATGCAGATGACTCCTGGAAACTTTTTCATATCGACGCTATGTCTGGCTTGGTTACTACGAATGCCGTTTTCGACTACGAACAAAAAAACCGGTATATTTTTACTATAAAAGCTACTGACATTGGAGGGAAGACAGCGTCCGTTAGGGTTCGTGTCGAAATAGAAAGTAAAGATGAGTTTCATCCACAATTTACCGAACGAACTTACCGTTTCGTTTTACCCACTCCACCATCTGGAAGTCTTCCCGCCGGGTACGTTGTTGGACATGTTACAGCAACAGACAGAGATAAAGGCCCGGACGGCAGAGTTGTCTATCAACTTACAAATCAACACCCATACTTCAAAATGAATAGAACAACTGGAGCCATTTTAGTTAAGAGGAAAATAAAAAATTCGGATGTTTTGGAAGAAGGAAAAGATGTCAGCCTGGTTATTACAGCAGGTTCTGGTCGACAAGGATCTCTCACAAACATGACAGTGGTAGAGATTGTATTAGATCCACTGGCTGATCCAGGTATTCTCAATGAAAATGGGGCCACTGTTCCTGCAGCCAATACTGGAATAGCTGATTGGGCACTTGGGCTTCTGATTGCTTTTTTACTCTTGCTATTAATTTTTGGGGCCGTTTTTGTTTACTTGCACATGCGAAATAAACGAAACAAGAAAGTAAACAAACCTGGTCTTGGTGGAGAAGCTGTACCATCACCAAATAATTACGTAGATCCAAGTGCCTTTGATACGATTCCCATCAGGGGTGGTGTGGTTCCAGGAGGTAATAATAATCAGTTTGCTCCTCCAAAGTACGACGAAATTCCACCTTATGGTGCCCCACATGCAGCTAGTTCTAATTCTGGAGCTGCAACAACTTCAGAGTTATCTGGTTCTGATCAATCAGGATCTAGTGGAAGAGGATCAGCTGAAGAAGGTGAAGATGGAGAAGATGAAGAAATAAGAATGATCAATGAAGGACCTTTGCAACGTGATTCCGGTATACATCGACAAAACGAGGACGATAATTTGTCCGATGTTTCCGTAAGAAACACTCAGGAATATTTGGCTCGACTTGGAATAGTTCACAACGCAACGACTGGAGTTCCACAAACGGCCGCAAGAAATGCGAACACCAAGGACGGTATTCATCATCATCAGAACGTTCCCTTGGATGGCCTTCGAATGTTTGAAGAAGATGGACATGGTGACAACGACATCACGAATCTCATCTACGCAAAACTTAACGATGTAACTGGTAGTGATCGCGCGAGTTCGTCGGGTGAAGGCGCCGGGGTAGCGACGACAAACCTCGGTGGAACAATGGACCACGTGATGGCTATCGGGGGTTACGGTGAAGTAACGGGAGTAACCCATCAACCTTCAATGAACGGTTCACTTAGTTCTATTGTACATAGCGAAGAAGAATTAGCGGGTAGTTACAACTGGGACTATTTGTTAGATTGGGGACCGCAATATCAACCCCTCGCTCATGTATTCTCAGAGATTGCAAGACTGAAAGACGATACAGCTTCCGTACAAAGTGCGGCTAGTGGGAACTCGAGCGTAAAAAGCAAAAACTCCGTTGCACAAGTTAAGAGCATTCCACCACCTTTAATTACCAGCGTAGCTCCAAGAGCCATCGCCTTGCCAGTGTTGAATCCACGGGGTGGATCTAGTCATCACTTATCGAGTGCTCATAGTCAGGTTCACATGCTTCCAAGAAGTCCCATCAACCACGACGCTTCTGGGGCGACGTTCTCTTCTTCCGCTGCGATGTCGCCGAGTTTTTCACCTTCACTATCACCGCTAGCTACCAAATCTCCATCTATTTCACCGTTGGTGGCTCCCGGAATGCCAAATACTCATCGAGTCATGCCGAGACCACCCCCACAAAGTAGAAGTAAAACTGTCGTCGACACAGAACTAAGAATATGAGACACTCTGCGTGAGTAATTGTATAATCTTAAGTGATTTGGCTGTGCTACATAAAGAAAAATTTACAGTAATTTTATTGTATGTATGTAATACGATGACGTAATGTAAAAAAACTGTAGTTTAGTGTAAATTTCTGTACATAGTTTTTATAAATAGTAATATTGTATTGCTCATTTCATATTGAATGCCATGTTTAGCCATAAGACTGTACTTAGTTAACAATTGTAAAGAAAACAATGAACTGTTAAATTATTGTTTGCAAAGAATATTTCTTAATTTGTATTTAAAAAGCACAATAGTCCAATGTCTGGACGGACGTGTAGTGATATGTTTACCGTAATTTTATATCTTGAGCCTGTTAAAAATTTTAATACAAGACAATTTGAATGTACAAATAAATGAATGACAAACATCTAGGACAGTTTTCGAGAAAAAAAATAGGTATTTGATAAATTTTTTACATGTAAGTAGTAAATCAGAAAGAAGCTTCATTATGAATAGTGATGGAAAATTGTAGGTGAATAATTTAATCAATTGAAAACGTAATGCACCTACTGGAAAAAAGATTAACTTTTGGTTTAGTTTTTCTTTAATAACAGTAAATAAATAAGTAGTCTTTTTCTGTTTAGTGATAAAAGTTCGCACATAATTCATTTATTTGTAATCTGTCAATCTATTCATAAAAATTTATAAAGACGGATTGATCATTAACTTTATAAACCGATTGAAAGAACATTCTCTGTTGATTCTTTCAGCGAACAGTGGCTATTTAGACACTACGTAGAATTCACAAACCACAAGCTGCAATCTATACACAACTTGCATCAACAAATATGGCCGCTTGACGTAACGTCGGTAAAGTACATCGTGTTCTAAATTGGTAGTATATTAATCGCAAATGTGAGAATTACTGAAAGTAATTGCTGAAAACATTCGGTACGATTGTTGCAAATTGTTTTTTGAATTAGCTATGAATAAAATGTGCGCTTCTTTTGTGATTTTCCAAAAAAAATGATTCTTCTAGGTAAGTCTGTTTCATTTCTCATTTACAAATTTTTTTAATTTTTCTTGTTAGTGATTCACTTTGTCAAAACAACATGCTTCATTAATTTCTTAACTTCGAGTACTTATACGATATTATTTTACAGAAACAAAAGAACTGGATGCCATGTATTATGAAGTATTCATCCTATCAAACGTTTTGTCTCTACAGGATGTTACAGTACCTGAAGGAAGCATAAATTAACGTACCCTTTATCCTTTGGAAATATGGGCAGTGTATTGCTGTTGCTAAAAGAAACAGTTTTGACAATAAATAGGTTAGTAACAGTAATAGTTATAGATAGACATTGTGAAATTTTCATTAAATTATCCCAGAAGCTTCAGCCTCTCACGTATTTGTGACCACTTCAACGTTTATGTTTTAAGTATAATTTCAGAAATATTAAAGCAGAATTAAAATGAAACTAAATTTATTCCGGCATACTTTCATATTAATCTCTTATAAACCATAATAGAAATTATGGATATATTTTGACTTTAATAAGAGAGTCAGGTGATTAAGGATGAACAAAAAACAACTTTTGTTAAATATTTAATTTTGAACAAAGATGCTTATTTTACTTATTGGTATATTTTGTTTGTATTTACCCATATCTAAACTCAGCGAAATTAATTTAACACATCTTTTTAGAATTTTACTGGTTTATNTCAGGTACAGCTTCCAGTTTAGGCACCAAACAGGAACCACTTCAGCAATCGGTCAATTCGAGGATCGTCTTTGTTACAAAACAAAACGTTACTGCTGGTCAAATTAAAGATACTTGCAGCATTGTCATCTGAACTGTTTCATGTTATCGAAGAAATGGAACTTTGCATATCTACATTTTTTCCATAGCTGAAATGTATAGAAAGTCGGTCGGAAAACAAATAGTTGCAGTGGTTTTAATAAAGACATCAATTATTTTGTTTTAAAAACTTTCTTAAACTGTGTTGCAAATAAAAATAATTACTATGTTAATTTACGATTATCTACTTGCGCAGATTAATTTCCAGAAATTAATGAACTGGGTTTGAATGTTCATTCATTCTAACATCTTTTCAAATATTTTTATACGTAGTTATAGCTTTTCTTCGAGCGTAGTTTTCTATCTTTTGTACTCCGAATACTTGCTCTCTTTAACAGTCGTATGCTTGAATGTGCGACCCAGAGAACGAGACATTTCCCTGGTTTGATTCATAAACAGCAATTAAAAATTGAATCAATGTTTTGAAAATTAATAAAACATAGTTCTAGCTTTTCTTCGAGCGTAGTTTTCCATCTTTTGCACTCCGAATACTTGCTCTCTTTAACAGTCGTATGCTTGAACGGTCGACCCAGAGAACGAGACATTTCCCTGGTTTGATTAAGTAATTTCGTAATTAGGTAACGTATTAAAACTNCGGAGGACGCGTATTACTGATTTTTGTTAATATGTATTTAATATAAAACAAAATTGGTTTAATCTTGTTGTAATTAATTTAAGTGTTTTTTTGGGATGGTAAACTAATAGTCAGTAAAATTGGCATTTGCAAACATTATTAAAAACAAATATTCTACTATTTTCTTATAATTTACATTTGTTACCTACCCAATATAATCTTTATCCTTTATCCTTCTCCCTCAGTGACAGCGTCAGAATGGTCAGGCCTGCAGTTTCGAAAATTCGAAGCTGTAAGTCCTATCATTTCGGCGTTTTACTAGTGGATAAGGATCTGGTTTAAATACGGAATGTTTCTGTACTTTCTGTAATCGATAAAATTAGATCTTCAACAATTCAGATGTATTTAACTTTTAGAAGTAGTAATTAATTTATAACTATTTCAATGTTTAATTTTAGTGTTTAACACAACTTTTGTATTCATAAACCGTATTCGAATCTTGTTTTGTCGTTACAAATAAAACGTAACTTCTGGTCAAATTAAAGATACTTGCAGCGTTGTCATCTGAACTGTTTCATGTTATTGAAGAAATGGGACTTTGCATATCTGTATTTATACTTTTTACATTTTTGTGTATTACATTCACCTTTAACATCTTTTAAAGTAATTATTTAACAGGCCGATAAACCGAACTCATTTTACTGAAATCGCGTATGTCGACTTGTTTGGTTGTTTTTTGATATCGTTTTACTTATCGAAACAACGTTTTTTTGCTCTTTCAAGGCGATGTGTACTTGTCTGTGTTTTTTCATGACTTTGATAAAAGCGAAGTCGTCATTATCAAAAAGGCTTGCTTAGTCACGAATGAAAGAACGAGATAGATATAATGAGAGTGAGAAAGAAGTGGAAATTGAAACATTTCCTGTAAAATAAAAGTACTTAGGTGACCAGGTCCGATCTAACACGAACAATAGAAACTAATATTACAATTTACTGTTATTATTAATTCGGCGCCATGTTAATGGGTAGTATCGAGTGCTATTAATTAATTGAATTATCGCGTTAATTTTCGTAGATTAGTATAGAAAACTTATCAGATATCGTGTTGTGGAATCAATGTGAATTTGAACAGTGATTGGAACGAAAGTTGTACTTAGGATTAGGATTAGGATTACGTGTGGAGTGGAGTATAAATGGTGAGTTATTGAAATAAGAGTTGTCATCCGTTTTGATCATTACCTTGCATGATCGTCATCGTTAAATTTAGTGTTTGTTATGTTTTAAATAATAAGGGTGCTTCTTAATTATTACATTAGGAATGGCTCAATTTGAGAGAGTCAGGTGATTAAGGATGAACAAAAAACAACTTTTGTTAAATATTTAATTTTGAACAAAGATGCTTATTTTACTTATTGGTATATTTTGTTTGTATTTACCCATATCTAAACTCAGCGAAATTAATTTAACACATCTTTTTAGAATTTTACTGGTTTATTTGCTGTTGTGTACTTTTATTTATTTTTATGTCATGCTTATGTAATAGGTCGTTAATTAGTTCTTTTTGCCAGTACGTGGGGGCTGATTTCCGAAATTAATGAATTAATGTTGAAGGCTTTCCATTAGTTTAAGCCTATATGATTATCTTGGTGATTGTTATTTAATTTGGAAAACTAACCACCCATATTTAAAAACCCCCTTTCACTATCTCAAAGCTATTCCATAGTTTTTTAAATAAGTTAGGGTCTTTCTTTCTGTATTACAAGTTTAGCTCAAAACAAATGTAATTTGTCTCTTATTTTCTCCGAATATTTTCACCCTTCGATGGTCCTAACAGCAATAGAAAATTGGTCTTAAAAATTAATGCATTTTTGTATTAAATACGCTTTATTGGCATTGCATTTACTAGTACCTCTGTTTAATATTATGCAATGTTATGTGGGGACTGATTTCCGAAATTAAAAAATTAATGTGTCAAGAATTTTCATTATTTTAAATAAACTCTATTAACGTTGTGTTAGTAGGAGATGTGTTAGTTTCTCTATTTAATAGTGTCTTGGGGCTGATTTCGGAAATTAATGAATCAAAGTTGAAAGCTGATTCATTGTTTTAAAGCTTTACGATTATTGTAGTGGTCATGCTCTACTTTTAATATTTTTTAAATAGAGAAATGATCCTTTTGTCGTTAACATTAATGTACCTAATTTCGAGCGTGATCGTCTATCATTTATTATCCGAATACTTGCTCTCTTTAACACTCGTATGTTGAACGATCGACCGAGAGAACAAGTCAATTCCCTGGATTTGTTATAAATTGCAAATAATGCTTTGTTTTGAATATTAATGCGTGGTCTTTGTATAAATTAAACTTTTTTGAATTTGTATTACAAGAAGAATATGTTAGTTTCTCTAGTGGGGGCTGATTTCCGAAATTAACGAACTAATGTTGAAGGCTTTTTATTNGATATTTGTATGAATTAAACTTATTTGAATTTGTATTACAAGGAGAATGTGTTAGTGTCATAGTTTAGTAGTACGTGGGGGCTGATTTCCGAAAGTAACGAATTAATGTCGAAGGCTCTTCATTATTTTAAACCTATACGATTATCGAGGTGGTTGTAGTCTAATTTCGGAAACTAACTACCTAAAGTTTCACTGTTTTAAAGCTATTTCATTGCCGAAGTAGTTGTAGATTATTTTCAATTTTTTTAAATGAGTTAGACTCTTTCTGTCTGTATTACTAGTTTAGCTCAAAACAATCGTAATTTGTCTCTTATTTTCTCCGAATACTTACACCCTTCGATGGTCCTAACAAAAATTGAAAATTGGTCTTAAAAATTAATGCATTTTTGTATGAAATTAACATAATTGACCTTGTATGACTAAAAGATCTCTATTTAATATTATGCACTATTATGTAGGCGGGCTGATTTCCTAAATTAACTGAGTAATGTTGAAAGCATCTTCATTGTTTTAAATAAGCCCTGTTAACGTTGTGGTAGCAGAAGTTGTGTTAATTTATTCTATTTAATAATGTTTTGGGGCTGATTTCGGAAATTACCAAATCAAAGCTGAAGGCTGATTGATTGTTTTAACGCTTTACAGTTATTGTAGTGGTTGTGCTCTGCTTTTACTATTTTTTAAATAGAAAAGGGGTCCTTTTGTCCTTATGATTAGTGTACCTAATTTCGAGCGTGATCGTCTATCATTTATTATCCGAATACTTGCTCTCTTCAACAGTCCAATGCTGAACGGTCGAATGAAAGAACAAGACAATTCCCTGGATCTGTTATAAATTGCATATAAAGCTTTATTTTGAGTGTTAAGTGGGATATTTGTATTAATTAAACTTATTTGAATTTGTATTACAAGGAGAATGTGTTAATTCACTGTTTAGTAGTACGTGGGGGCTGATTTCCGAAATTAACGAATTAATGTTGAAAGCTTTTCGTTATTTTAAACCAATACGATTATCGAGGTGTTGTGGTATAATTTCGGAAACTAACTACCCAAAGTTGAAACCCCTTTCACTGTTTTAAAGCTGTTTCAGTAGTTGTAGACTATTTTTTTTAAATCAGTTAGACTCTTTCTGTCTGTATTACTAGTTTAGCTGAAAACAATTGTAATTTGTCTCTTATTTTCTCCGAATACTTTCACCCTTGGATGGTCCTAACAAAAATTGAAAGTTGGTCTTAAAAATTAATGCATTTTTGTATGAAATTAACGTAATTGACCTTGTATGAGTAAAAGATGTGCTAGTTTCTCTATTTAATATTATGTAGGTGGGCTGATTTCCTAAATTAACTAAATGTCGAAAGCATTTTCATTGTTTTAAATAAACTCTATTGACGTGTTAGCAGGAGATGTGTTAATTTCTCTATTTAATAATGCCATGGGGCTGATTTCGGAAATTAACAAATGAAAGTTGAAAGCGGAATCATTCTATTAATGCTTTACGATTATTGTAGTGGTTGTGCTCAACTTTTAATACTTTTTAAGTAGAAAGAGGATCCTTTTGTTGTTATAATTAATATAACTAGTTTCAAGCGTGATCGTCTGTCATTTATTATCCGAATACTTGCTCTCTTCAACAGTCGTATGCTGAACGGTCGAACGAAAGAACAAGACCTGGATTTGTTACGAATTGCAATAAATCCTTGTTTTGAATATTAATGCGTGATATTTGTATGAATTTAATTTTTTTGAACTTATATTACTAGGAGAAAGTGTTAATTTTTTTATTTAATAATACGTGGGGGCTGATTTCTAATGCTCTTTCATTATTTTAAATTTTACTATTATTGAAGTGGTTGAGGCCTAATTTCCTAGCCTATTTTGAATTTTTTAAACGAGTAACGCTCTTTTTGTCGATATGAATAGTATAACTCATATTAAACGTAATTTGTATGTTATATTCTCCGAATACTTGCTCTCTTCGATAGCCCCAAACAAAAACTTAAAATATGTCTTGAAAATTAATGCATTTTTGTAGGAAATAAACTTTATTAACGTGGTATCACTAAGAGATGCGCTAGTTTTTCTATTTAATAGAATGCTGTGGGGCTGATTTACAAAATTAACGAATGAAAGTTGATATATTTTTCACTGGTTTAAAGCTATTCGATTATCGAGGTAGCTGTAGCCTATTTGGAATATTTTTAAACATAATAGAGCTCTTTTCTCGATTTAAACTCAATCTTTTGCTTTAATGTAAACTGTAGCAACAACCGTTATGAGTTATTCCCCACATTTTTGTGTATTACATTCACCTTTAACATCTTTTAAAGTAATTATTTAACAGGCCGATAAACCGAACTCATTTTACTGAAATCGCGTATGTCGACTTGTTTGGTTGTTTTTTGATATCGTTTTACTTATCGAAACAACGTTTTTTTGCTCTTTCAAGGCGATGTGTACTTGTCTGTGTTTTTTCATGACTTTGATAAAAGCGAAGTCGTCATTATCAAAAAGGCTTGCTTAGTCACGAATGAAAGAACGAGATAGATAGAATGAGAGTGAGAAAGAGATGGAAATTAAAACATTTTCTGTAAAAGAAAAGTACTTGTGTGGCCAGGTCCGATCTAGCACGAAGAATAGAAATTAATATTACAATTTACTGTTATTATTAATCCGGCGCCATGTTATTAGGTAGTATCGAGTGCTATTAATTAATTAATGTATCGCGTTAGTTTTCGTAGATTAGTAAAGAAAACTTATCCGATATCGTGTTGTGCAATCAATGTGAATTTGAACAGTNGATTATTAATTAATCGAGCGTACTACCCATCTTTCTCTCTCCGAATGCTCACTTTTTCTATTTGGATGATATAGCAACTCTGTGTTCGTTGTCTTTGTACAATAAACAATAGTATAATAATATGTAGGTTACGGTGCGGTAGTGTTACGTTAACATTAATGTTTTCGTGGAAATCGGACAATTTGTGTCCAATAATTATAAGTACTGTTTAAACAGAAATGTAGGGAATCTACCATTAGGATATCTTTTTTTTTGTACCCAGGATTTTGATGCGGTGAGTTTTTTTGGAAGATCTAGTAGGCTTTTTAAATTTGATGTTTTCATTGTATTTGTTGTGCGGAGGACGCGTATTACTGATTTTTGTTAATATGTATTTAATATAAAACAAAATTGGTTTAATCTTGTTGTAATTAATTTAAGTGTTTTTTTGGGATGGTAAACTAATAGTCAGTAAAATTGGCATTTGCAAACATTATTAAAAACAAATATTCTACTATTTTCTTATAATTTACATTTGTTACCTACCCAATATAATCTTTATCCTTTATCCTTCTCCCTCAGTGACAGCGTCAGAATGGTCAGGCCTGCAGTTTCGAAAATTCGAAGCTGTAAGTCCTATCATTTCGGCGTTTTACTAGTGGATAAGGATCTGGTTTAAATACGGAATGTTTCTGTACTTTCTGTAATCGATAAAATTAGATCTTCAACAATTCAGATGTATTTAACTTTTAGAAGTAGTAATTAATTTATAACTATTTCAATGTTTTCTCTCCGAATGCTCACTCTCTCTATCTGCATTGTACAACAACTATGCTCATTGTATTCATAAACCGGATTCGAATTTGAGGTAACTACCTCCAAAATTTTGTTTTGACATATATCTTATTGATTTCAACACAATATTCTGCACATGTTTTTACATTATTTTACCTATTGGGTGTATTTATAATAATTGTTTGACTATTTATAGAATTTTTGCATCATTTTATTAACTAAAACATATTCATTATTAATTTCAGTTCGCACTTAAAAACTATTGACACCACGATATTCTGCATACATCTTTACATTTTTTTATCTATTAGATGCATTTAACATAATTGTTTGTCTATTTGAAAATTCACGAACCCATTTTGTTGATCATAGAATTTTTGCATCATTTTGTTAAATAAAGCATATTCGTTATTTAATTTCAGTTCGTACTTAAAAACTATTGACACCACGATATTCTGCATACATCTTTACATTTTTTTATCTGTTAGATGCATTTAACATAATTATTTGACTATTTGCAAATTAACGAACGCATTTTATTGATTATTCTTTAAAAAAACACATGTTCGTTGATGGGTTTGATCGTTTGTTGCGTTTAAGTGTTATTTTATCATAGTGATTAAGATCTTTTATTCTGTCTATTAACGGAAAGTTGACATTTGAAAAAAATATATTTAGGCTGGTAGATATTCCAGAATATTTTATGCTTCATTGGTTACCCATTTGGTTAACACGGAAACCAATTTTTCATTTCAATTAAAAAAGAAATATGAATTAATTTGTGACTATGAATTAATATATCTTTTATGTTAACTACTGGATTTATTTATTTATGTATATTATTTGGGTTTTATACTTAAATATTAATTAACAACAAAGAATATTAGTTTTAGAGAATTTTTGCTGTTTATTATTTGATAATTTTGCTTAGGTGTGGACGAATGTGATGTCGTGATGTAGTACTAGAGATAAAAAAGCTGCTTATCGAACGAGTAATGCCCTCTCCGTTGTCCTTGTTCCCGTTTTGTCAAGTTTGTACATAATGAACGTTTATATTAAGCCTATCAAATTCGGTAAAATTTAGTTAATATTCTGTTTAATACGTGTATGCGTTAATCCTATACATTCTTTAGTGGATTTAATATGCAGTTAATGATACAGTTTGCTTCTTCTGTGAAGAAAGGTAGGATGATTTTTAATTTATGATTAAAAGTTGATGTGACGTCACATTGTTTTAAAACAATACAATTCCCACTGTTGTAAAATTTCTATTCTAAGTTTCCTTGTTAGGATTTCTTCGTTTTTAAGAAACACAAAANCGTTTAGCAGTGCCGGAGAGTACTTATTTGACACCGCACTTGAAAAGCTGACTACACCATTACATTCTACGTACCTTTTTACATCCCTTCACCCTCTTAAACTTTACCAAATCCTCTTTATCTCTAAGAAATCCAGCGAGCGCTTTTTTTTGCTCTTATAATTTTCCTTATTTTCGCGTTTAGCAGTACCACACGGTACTATTATAACGCCCCACTAGAAAACTGATTGCATCATTATATTTTAGTCACTTGTCTACAATCCCCTAGCGTTTTATACTTTACAAAATCCTCTGTCTTTCAGAGAAATTCAGCGATTTTTTTAACGAACCTACTATGTCGGTCGTTTTGTGATTGAAATCATGTGGTTGTGTTTTTAATCAGGTTTAAACCAGTAGCTTCTTCATTTATGCTAACCCGTTAAATTCGATATAGACTCTCCTTTTTTTTATGTGTATTTTTTTGGTTTTACTACCATATTCTGCATACATTTGTACATTTTTTATATCTATTTTAATTCATAAATGCGTACGACACCGACACTAATCTTTCGTTTATTATTATTCATTATTATTATTTGTTATAATTGTTACTGCATGAATTAGTTACTAGGTATTTATATTTGTACTAATATTCGTTTTTTTTTAATGAAGTATTAATAGTAAAGGATATTATTTTTAATAGTAACGACCTCTTCACTATATCTTTCTAGTTTTGTCAAGTTTGTGATTACAATTAGTAATCGTTTATATTCGATATATGAAGTATGTTAAAGTTAAAATTAAGTTCAGGTATTATTCAGTTTAGTACAGTCTCTTGTGAATTTAATATGTAGTTAATGATACAGCTAGCTTTGTCTATGAAGAAAGGTAGGATATTTTGTTTTAGTGCTTTCAATTGAATTTTTAATTCGCCATTAGCAGTTGATGTGACATCACATCGTTTTATTAAATGATAAAAGATCCCTAATTTAGTTTACTAATTAAAGTATTTATCAAGAATATCTAGTTAAAATAGTTGCATCAAAGCAAATTGATTTACAGTGTTTATAATTTTTATTTATTTGTACGAGTGAGGAGGCCAATTTGTATAAAATTTATTTTTTATTTAAGTTACACCTTTGTCTTTTTGTTCTTCTGCAATAGAAACTTGTAGGACCTCCGGCATTATTTCTAATGCGTACATTATTAATTAATTAATTAGTTGCATTTTTAATAATAATAATTCATTTTACAGGAGTATTATACTACAACTCTGTGAGGCATCGATCGTTGCAGTCCTGTTTCACTCCACAACATAAGAGCGTCTGAAAGAAACATGACAATGCTTTTTCCCGAATGGATGCAGTAGAATCTGTTGTTTATTTACTAAAGAAAGGATTCGCAGCAACTAATGGTAGGTGACAATATTTATTAATTGAGAAAAATAGACTTGCATCAATGATATCAGCTTTTTGGTATTTATTTTTGAAATTATTATTTAAGGATTTTTTTAAAAACAAATAACATACTTTTAACCAATCGTCATAGTAAAGGAATACGTAAATTGTTCCATTTCATATAACATTTGTTTACAGGTATTATTTATTCACGTAAAATTTCCTCTTTGGCTTAGCATCCATAAAAAATCTGATATTATGAAAGCGTTCGTAGAAGCATATTTTTAGTTACTATAAGATTGTAATTCTTACCAAAAAAAAATTTTAAATCTACACTGATCATGGATAGATAACATTTTATTTTACGTTTATTTGAATTTTTTCTTTTTATTTACATTTAATCATTCTATAGATACTATATTACATAATAAATCTTTTACTGTAAGACTTAACTCTTACACTAATCTAAACAATAGCTTAATTCAGATCATTTCATTCTTGTTTTGGTTAGTAGGAGCAGTCTGTGATAGACATGATAGACATGGAAGTCAACAACAAGTTAGGACATCATGATCAGTGAAGAACATCAGGACCACCAGGACATCAAGGAACGAGACCACCAAAATCCAATCCACTAATCTCGGTCCAATCAAGGGAATGTAACATTTCTTGGAATTCTACATTGTAATATATGTTTTATTTCTTTTAATTTTTATAAACTCAAAACATTTCATTTGCTTATAAATTAATTCTGAATCCTCTTCATTTCCAAGAAATTTAACGTGCGCTTTTTTTATTCTTATAATTTTCCTTATTTTCGCGTTTAGCAGTACCACACGGTACTATTATAACGCCCCACTAGAAAACTGATTGCATCATTATATTTTAGTCACTTGTCTACAATCCCCTAGCGTTTTATACTTTACAAAATCCTCTGTCTTTCAGAGAAATTCAGCGATTTTTTTAACGAACCTACTATGTCGGTCGTTTTGTGATTGAAATCATGTGGTTGTGTTTTTAATCAGGTTTAAACCAGTAGCTTCTTCATTTATGCTAACCCGTTAAATTCGATATAGACTCTCCTTTTTTTTANAGAATCAGCTTTCAACTTTGATTTGTTAATTTCGAAAATCAGGCCCAAAACACTATTAAATAGAAAAATTGAAACATCTCCTGGTAATACAACGTTAATAAAGTTTATTTCATACAAAAATACATTAATCTTCAAAGCAGATTTGTAATTTGTGTTTAGGGTTATCGAGGAGAAGAAGCATTCCGAGAATATAAGATACAATTTACGCTTGATTTGAGTTACACTATTCATATCGAGAAAAAGAGCATTACTCAGTTAAAGTCAAATACTCAAAGTATGCCACAACTACTTCATAATCGTATAGAGCTTTCAACTTTGGGTAGTTGGTTTCCGAAATAAGACCACAACCAAGAAGTTTATTTCCTATAAAAGTGACGTATTAAACTTCAAAACAAATTCTTATTTTTTAGTTATATTAAAACAAGCAAACTGTCCTGTTCTTTTCGTCAACCGTTCAAACAAACGACTGTTAAAGGGGCAAGTATTCGGAGAAAAGACTGTAACTATTCTATAACTACGAAAAAGTGTTTATGCATTATATTTAAAAAAAAATTGAAAATAATCTACAACCATCGTTTTCAAGCAATGAAAGAGCCCCGAACCCCTGTTCATTAATTTCCGGATATTACTACAAAATTTATGAATAAACGAAGCAACAGTTTTAATACGCTACCTAATTTACCTAATTACGAAATTACTTAATCAAACCAGGGAAATGTCTCGTTCTCTGGGTCGAACTTTCAAGCATACGACTGTTAAAGAGAGCAAGTATTCGGATAATAAAAGATAGACAATTACGCTCGAAGAAAAGCTATAACAATGTTTTATTATATATAAAAATGTTTATAAAGATGTTACAATGAAAGAACTTTCAAACTAAGTTCATTAATGTATGGAAATTAATCTCCGTAAGTAGATAATCGTAAATTAACATAGTAATTATTTTTATTTGCAACTTCAAAAAAAGTTATATTTATTTAAAAGAAACGTATTCATTTTTAAAACAAAATAATTGATGTTTTTATTAAAACCACTGCAACTATTTGTTTTCCGACCGACTTTCCATACATTCCAGTTACGGTAAAAATGTAGATATGCAAAGTCCCATTTCTTCGATAACATGAAACAGTCCAGATGACAACGCTGGAAGTATCTTTAATTTGACCAGAATTTACGTTTTATTTGTAACGATAAAACAAGATTCGAATAGGGTTTATGAATACAAAAGATGTGTTGAACACTAAAATTAAACATTGAAATAGTTATAAATTAATTACCATTTTTAAAAATTAAATACATCTAAATTGTTGAAGACCTAATTTTTTCGATTTCAAAAAGTGCAAAACATTCCGTATTTAAATCAGATCCTTATCCACCAGTGAAACGCCGAAATGATCGGACTTGCAGCTTCGAATTTTCGAAACTGCAGGCCTGACCATTTCGACGCTGTCACTGAGGGAGAAGGATAAATACGGAGTCGCGGTAAATTATATAAGCTAGCTATCCAGCCGCTCTTTCCGAAGCCTCCACCTCATACAATGAACCACCTAGGCGCCATCAGCAGTTCATCTGAGTGAGACAACTTACTCAAGTGACCGTATAAGATACCTAAGGCTAGCTGCTACAAGCGAACTATATGTATTAAGTACAAGGAAAACAATGGCGGTGAAAAGGTTAAACTAAAAGACATTTTTTCACGCCTATTATACGAAATTTTAAACAAAATTTATATTGGGTAGGTGACAAATGTAAATTATAAGAAAATTGTAGAATATTTTTTTTGAAAAATGTTTGCAAATAGTAATTTTATTGACTTTTATAGTTTACCCTCCCAAAAAAAAACTTAAATTAATGAAAACTAGATTAAACCAATTTTGTTTCATATTAAAAGGTAAAGATTATTTTTTTGTTCAAGTAATCGTACAAAATTTCGAATTTGAAAACCTACGAACACACTATATGTATACATGTCATTTAAAAAAATTCATTAATAAAACCAAAATTCTTTTACGTAATTCACAAAAGTTCGTAAAGATCATTTATATAAATATATTTCGTTCTAATAAAAGAAATTATTAATTAAAGCCATTGTGTAATTCAGTGTTCACAATTGTAATCATACAGCAACTAGTACTTGCGCGTTTACATTTAGTCTTTGTTAACAAATTGAGCCATTCCTAATGTAGTAATTAAGAAGCACCCTTACTGTTTAAAACATAACAAACACTAAATTTAACGATGACGATCATGCAAGGTAATGATTAAAACGGATGATAACTCTTATTTCAATAACTCACCATTTATACTCCATTCCACTTGTAATCCTAATTCTAAGTACAACTTTCGTTCCAATCACTGTTCAAATTCACATTGTTTGCACAACACGATATCGGATAAGTTTTCTTTACTAATCTACGAAAACTAACGCGATAATTCAATTAATTAATAGCACTCGATACTACCCATTGACATGGCGCCGAATTAATAATAACAGTAAATTGTAATATTAATTTCTATTGTTCGTGATAGTTCGGACTTTTAACTCGCAAGTACCTTTCTATTAGAGGAAATGTTTCAATTTCCATCTCTTTCTCACTCTCATCATCACATCAGGTAGATATATCTCTTTCTTTCATTCGTGACGAAGCAAGCCTTTTTGATAGTAACGTATTCGCTTTTATCAAAGTCATGAAAAAACACAGACAAGTATACACCGCCTTGAAAGAGCAAAAAAAACCTTTATTCGATAAATAAAACGATATAAAAAAATAACGAGATGTACCAAAGGAGCCAATATACGAGGTTTCACTAAAATGAGTTCGGTTTTCGACCTGTTAAACAATTACTTTGAAAGATGTTAAAGGTGAATATAATACACAAAAATATGGGGAATACGTCCTGAAAACTATTTTTGACTGCAGTGCAAATTGAAGCAAATTTCATTGGTAAAAAGTGAATAATACGTAGAAATGTTAAATATAGAAAAGCGCAACTGAAATATCGCCCAGTTAAACAATTATTACGAAAGATGCTAAGGGTGAATGTAATGCATAAAAATATGGGGAATAACGTCCTGGAAACAGTTTTTGACTGCAGTGCAAATTAAAGCAAATTTCATTGGTAAAACACAAAAAATACGTAGAAATGTTAAACATAGAAAAGCGCAACTAAAATTTCGACATGTTAAACAATTATTTTGAAAGATGTTAAAGGTGAATGTAATGCATGAAAATGTGGGGAATGACGTCCCGGAAACGGTTTTTGATTAAAGTGCAAGTTAAAGCTTATTTCATTGTTAAAACACAAAAAATACGTAGAAATGTTAAACATATAAAAGCGCAACTGAAATCTCGACCTGTTAAACAATTATTTTGAAAGTTGTTAAAGGTAAATGTAATGCATAAAAATGTGGGGAATGACGTCCCGGAAACGGTTTTTGATTGAAGTGCAAATTAAAGCAAATTTCGTTGGTAAAACACAAAAAATACGTAGAAATGTTAAACATAGAAAAGCGCAACTGAAATATCGCCCAGTTAAACAATTATTACGAAAGGTGCTAAGGGTGAATGTAATGCATAAAAATATGAGGAATAACGTCCTGGAAACAGTTTTTGACTGCAGTGCAAATTAAAGCAAATTTCATTGGTAAAACACAAAAACTACGTAGAAATGTTAAATATAGAAAAGCGCAACTAAAATTTCGACATGTTAAACAATTATTTTGAAAAATGTTAAAGGTGATTCTAATGCATGAAAATGTGGGGAATTACGTCCTGGAAACGGTTTATGCTATGGATTTACATTATAGCAAATTTCATTGTTAAAACTCAAAAAATACGTAGAAATGTTAAACATAGAAATGCGCAACTGAAATTTTGACCCGTTAAACAATGATTTTGAAAGGTGTTGTAATACACAAAAGGCTTTCATCAGTATTTCGTTAATTTCGGAAATCAGCCCCCACGTACAACTACAACATTCTCCTTCTAATACAAATTCAAAAAGGTTAGTTTTGTACAATTACCACGCATTAATATTTATTAATATAAAACTTTATTTGCACTTTTTAGCAAATCCAGGGAACTCTTCTTCTCTCGGTCGACCGTTCAGCATGCGACTGTTAAAGAGAGCAAGTATTCGGATAATAAATGACAGACGATCACGCTCGAAATTAGGTACACTAATCATAACGACAAAAGGACCCCATTTCTATTTAAAAAATATTAAAAGTAGAGCACAAACACTACAATAATCGTAAAGCTTTAAAACAATGAATCTGCTTTCAATTTGGATTTGTTAATTTCCGAAATCGGCCCCAAGACACTATTAAATAGATAAAATTAACACATATGCTGCTAATACAACATAAATAGAGTTTATTTAAAATAATGAAAATGCTTTCAACATTAATTTGTTANTGCTTTCAACATTACTCAGTTAATTTAGGAAATCAGCCCGCCTACATAATAGTGCATAATATTAAATAGAGATCTTTTAGTCATACAAGGTCAATTATGTTAATTTCATACAAAAATTTATTAATTTTTAAGACCAATTTTCAATTTTTGTTAGGACCATCGAAGGGTGTAAGTATTCGGAGAAAATAAGAGACAAATTACGATTG